TGGGCATATTTTCTTCAACATCAGATGTATTGATTGAAGCTTCTTTTGGTGCGGGGCATTACTATTACGATGACACGCCCTAGGAGGAGTTGCCCCAAAGCAGATGATAATTGAATATATAGCACGAAAAAATCAGAGTTGCCATTTTTGTCTATCAGCACCACGCTCCCAAACTAAACCGCCAGTTGAAAAGGAATCTTGAGAAATCAAGAGAACTTTCACAAAAGAATCGATATCTTTCAGTGGAAGACTGACCGCCTTACCTAGACCCCTTGTGTTTGGGGGCGAATTCTTGTTAAGATCTTCATCATAACCATTTTGTATAGATACCATGAAGGCTGGTATATCATACACGCATCACTAGGTATAGCTCGTGGGGTAAACAATGGTGTGACTTTAAAAAAAAAAAAAGATATCGTCATCCACAAATATTTTAAGTCCAGAAAGGACAACATCTCCCCTATTACTTTTCCTTTGTACAAATATCCTGCAAACCTTCACTCTTAGTATTAGCTAGAAGCAGAATTATCTTGTTTGCTATCCTTCCCATAACATTCACTAAGCCACTTTTCTTCTTTGAAGTTGGCCAGCCTTATCTTCCAGTCCTTGTAAGATTTGGCATCGAGCCTGACTTTTTTAAAGTTGATCTTTCACTGTTCATCTTTAGTCTTGATATTCTTTGTTTGTCTGCGCCATTAGCGATTGTTGATGGTTCAGCAACAAAGAATCGTGTAGAATATCATTTCATATTTAGTATACTAATTCAAGTGCAATATGGTCCGTTGATCGAGAACGGAACGAGGGGTCACTCAGCATTGGCTGTGGGATTGTGAAGTGTCCAAAAATCCGATGGGAATCGATTTTGATTCTCTCTCCTCATTTACTCAAAGAGTTTCAGCTCAAAGCCAGTTTAAGAAGTGCCACTGCACATGGCACCAGGTAAGGGGAACTCATTGACAAACATTATATACGACTGAGAAGTGATGCGATAAGAATTGAAATGCGTGACGATGCACAGACTATTTTTCGAACTTGTACTCTATCTTCTATTCTTATTTCCTTTTTCTTTTCTTTTCCATTTAAATTTATTCAAAGACTGCAATAACTCACTTTGTGTTCGCTTTATTCCGAGACATAAATAATCAATTCTCAAAACTTTTACAAGAAGGTGATCTGGAGCAATGACACGATTAAAACCTTCTACACGAAAGCAGTGTAAAAGTAATAATTCTAGGGGTCTTTTCCGGGGGTCACTTGTGATTTGGTTCATCAGCACGCTTTTCATAGCCCTTTGGCTATTTTACGTTGATGATTTGAAACCGATCTCCTCTGAACCCTTGGTACTTTCCAAAGATGACTTGCAGGATATCTTTGTTCGAACCACAGGGCCTCGTGTCGTCATCTTCGTTATGAGTGATAGAATTGATGATACGCTTTGTTATTCAGTGGGCTCAGCCTACCTAAGCGGGTTTCCCGTAGTGGTAGCCGGCTATCAGATGAAATACAAAGGGTTTCTATCCAAGTTCGATTTTATGGAAAAAGCTATCCAGAATGCGCAGCTGAATCCGGATGATGTTGCCATTTTAATGGATTCCGACACGGTTTTTACTGGTGCAGACATTCAAGCTTTTCTTGATCGTTTCATCGCACAGTCCGCCGCGACGCCGGAGGAGTTGGACGCACTGAGTGTGCGGCAGGGCCGTGCGATGGCACCGATCATACCTAGTGCTGAGGCTGGCTGTTGGGCACCGAACATACTCAAAGGTTGGCCTGAATGCATCGCTAGATTTAACACAATCTATGCAAAAGTGCAGAGGTATACCGCTGCACACCCGGAGCATAAGCTCGTCTCGTCTTTTGGCTTATCATCTCATCAGTATATCAATGCTGGTGTTGTGATTGCTCGTGCGTGGGCATACAACGAGTTATTACAAAAGGCGGATTATTTAATCAAAACACAACCTACAAAATATAAACCTAGAAAGGGATGGGACTGTGATCAGTCTGTTTTAACAGCGCTGTACTTGGATCTCTTAGCGTGGGAGGTCGAACAGGACGTTTTCTCGTTGCCATTGCATGAGCGCCAGGCGGCACGGTCCACTTACGGTGTACGTGCAGGTTTCATGGATTTAGATTACGCCAATATGTTTTCAGCTCCCCGTTCAATAATTTTAATGCACCTTACTGAAATGTACGATAGACACTGGACGAGACATTTGCCGCTGGATAAAATCGGGCACCCACACTCGGAAAAGATAATCAATTTCAAGGTGGTAGCTCGGTTTGTGAGTGATCTTTATAAGCGAGCATATGCCGCACACGGTGAGGAGATTTACACGAGGCTTGCCGTACCCAAGTGGGTGGACGGGAAAAGAACTTCTGAGAAGATCTTCATCAGCCTCACGCCACCTCTTTTGGCAACCGAGCTTAGGTCTATAGATGAAATCAACAACGAAGTGCGTCGTACGTTTCCTGTGAATTATCATGCGGCAGGTACTGAAACAGGCTACACGAAGGTGGGTAAGTTGGAGCATGGCGCTGTAGGTGCACAGTGGTTTGTGCCGATGGTGCACAACCCCAACATAGAAAGGGAGACCATGGAATACCTGGCATCCATGCCGTTGTTTCTATCGACACATAACTCTATCATTCAAGATTCCTACGATGCAAAATGTGGTTTCCCATTTAGAAGAACTATTAAAAGGGCGCTAAGTGCCTGAGCCATTTTGCTTTTTGACGACATGCACTGTGACGTTTTCCTTCAATGCCCTATCGATCCATTTGAGATTATTTCATGAAGGGTGGTATGCCAATCAGGTTATGCTATCCGAAATGCTTTCCTGGCTAAAGCCTGTAAGGGAAAATTTACAACGGATGAGGGCTTCAGTTTACCCTCCCGCTGTTTGTATATAAATATGGGATCCTACTCTAGGTTTAAGGTGGTATATTTATATATTTTATCAATCCCACCAGTTCTATTACCCTCATATGGGTAGGTTTATCTGGCGGATTATATCTAAGTTTCTGAATATAGCCGTATATTTTTCCCTATATGATGTAACACAAGCATATCAATTTTATATTGCAAGTGTCGCGTATAGATGAATAAATATTGCCACCAATGTATGATAAAAGTTAGGTTTTGAATATAATAATCTTAATTTCAAGTTATATTCAATGTTTTTTTTCATAACTGAAAATTTTTTTGAAGGCTATGGTGGCACCGAGGAAGTTGCTTTGTGTATTAGTACGTACTCAAGGCATGCTTTCTCGCTATACGAGTTCTTTTTATCAGCGTGGAATGCTTGTGTAACGTTTAGCATCGGTTTTGAGGGACCTCGGTTAGTATTTTCTAATGTGGTGGCGTGCTTCTTCTTTTTATTTTAGCTTAACAATTCACTCTCCGTTAATTTTGGATTAAAAATTCGTTTTGATAGACCTGATATAAAAATACGGTATCACAACAAAAATTAAACATGTGATTCTAAACGAATGAATGGATCTATTTTCATTACATTGCAGATAATAAACAAAAAAAATCAAAGAAAGAATTGGAAAATATTTCAAAATGGTGATTTGTATTGAAACTGGTTCTATTTTCACCAATATAAGTTTCCCCTATATTTTATTTTTGTGAGTAATCATCCACCAAATAATTTTTTTAATTTGAAACCAACACAAACCTGCTACTGCGTGATGAACTTTTTATTTTGAAGGGGTTTCTGATATTCAATGTTTTTTCCCCTTTTCTTTCAGTTTGTATTATTTAGGTGAATCACACAAGATACCTCTTTTTGGAAATCTAAATACTTTCCGTCAGACGATGAGCATCAGCTTCACTTGCTTTAGAGTCGTTGGGACGTAAAGAACTCTTGTGTGACTTTGGCTTGATTCCTTGCGGGGTGGGGCGGGCCTTGTCGCGCGTGCGAGGTCCGATACCAGCTTCTTTCAGACGTTTGTAAGGGAAGGCGCAGGGAGGTGTGAATAAGGCCAGGGAACGGGAACAGGCTAGTGTTAACTCACTCTCCCCATGTGAAGACAGCAGCACCTGAGGAATATCGAGGTTCTCCAACCCCATACGCGGCACTAGTGCACATAGCATATACCATAACATGAAAGGAATGTCTCAGAACAAAATTTACATCTCTGGCCCAGAGGTGTTTCTTCCAGATGAAGGTGCTACTTATTATAATAAGGAAGGGGAGTTTTTGACTGCAAAACAGGTAATCCCAATGAATTGGTTGGATAATAAGGTCTCTCGGGCTCTGAACATCCGTAACGCCGACATTGCCCTGCTCGAAGAGTCTGATGCTATCATTGCAGACCTCTCTCCTTTTCGTTCACATGAGCCCGATTGTGGGACTGCCTTTGAAGTCGGATATGCTGCAGCTCGTAGGAAGCAGATTCTTGTTTATACTTCCGACCTCCGCAGTATGACGGAGAAGTATGGCGGCACGAAAGATGCCGACGGGCTCACCGTTGAGGATTTCTCCCTTCCATTCAATTTGATGCTGTAGGATGGGACTCCGATATTCGGTTTCTTTGAAAAGGCATTTGAGTATTTTTGCAAAACATCGCTGTAAATAGGTAAATATTTTTGTGTTTTCTTGTTTATTGAAAAAAATTCAATCTATTTTGTAGTTTTCAAATGCTAAAAAGGGTTGAATGCTGTCGTTGACATGCAGCATCCATCAAGTCTTAATATAGTGATTAATGTTGAACAAATAGCGTAAGGAATTCAATAGCGTTTTATTCTTTAAAGCGATACCTGTATTTTTCCTTAGTCATGTGGAAGTAAAAATAAGAGAGCTGCCGTGTTTTCCTACAATTCAAAGCTATCTGAGGAAGCAATTCATGTGTTAGGTTTCTCCAAAATATTGAAACACCATCTTATGCGTCTCTTCTCTCAAGCGTGCATGTCTTTATTCAATAGGAGCAATACTACAATACACTAAAGGATCCACCTAAAAGCAACTTGGACATTATAGTCGTTTCGAATGCGATTTGTACAAAGGGCCGCCACAGTGTGCAGGGGCTCGTACTTCACGATGTCGCCCAGAGAATGACAGCTTTTTCTATTCCAAGAACTCAGCTTCAAGGTACGAAACTGAGACGCGAGCATTGGATTTACGTGAATTTTTTTAATTCGGTGAAGCGTCTGGGCTGCTTGTGAAGAAGGAGTAATCCCACTGGAGCTTTGTGTCAAAGATGAAAAGATCGCGATGCGTTTAGTTGGACCGGTACACATTTTGAACCCTTTTCAAATTTTTCAATCGTGCAACTAGACCTTCTTTCACTGCTTGTACTGGAAATTTTTCATGCTCTTGGGCTGAATCCGCATCGCCCTTTTCTAGCCTCCGCGGGTTGTCCCTTTTTTTATCCTTTCGTGCGTATCTCAGTTCAGGATCTCTTTGAGAGGTGCCACTGCACGTGTCACCAGGTAGGAGGAACTCACTGACAAACATCATTTGCGACTGAGAAGCATTTTAGGAAAATTTTAAATGTGTGACGATGTACAGACTATTTGTCAAACTTCTACTATAGCTATCTTCTATTTTTATCCTCTTCCTCTTTTTATTCCATTTGAAATATAGATACTGCGATAACTCTCATCGTATTTGTTTTATTTACAGACATAAAAATAATATTTATAGAAGCCTTACAAAGAAGTGGACTAAAGCAATGATGCCATTAAAATCCTTCACACAAAAGCAGTGTAAAAGTAATAAATTTAGGGCTCTTCTCCGGTGGTCGCCTATCGTTGGATTAATCGGCACACTTTTCATAGTCCTTTGGCTATTTTACGTTGGTGATTCGAAACCGATCTCCTCTGAACCCTCGGTATTTTCCAAAGATGACTTGCAGGATATCTTTGTTCGAACCACAGGGCCTCGTGTCGCTATCTTCATTATGAGTGATAAAATTGATGATACGCTTTGCTATTCAGTGGGCTCAGCCTACCTAAGCGGGCTGCCCGTAGTGGTAGCCGGCTATCAGATGAAATACAAAGGGTTTCTATCCAAGTTCGATTTTATGGAAAGGGCCATCAAGAATGCGCAGCTGAATCCGGATGATGTTGCCATTTTAATGGATTCCGACACGGTTTTTACTGGTGCAGACATTCAAGCTTTTCTTGATCGTTTCATCGCACAGTCCGCCGCGACGCCGGAGGAGTTGGACGCACTGAGTGTGCGGCAGGGCCGTGCGATGGCACCGATCGTAGCGCTCGCGGAGGATTGTTGTTGGGCACCGAATTTATACTCTGGGCATGAGGATTGTGCAATTGGGTATGAAGCGGTTTATGAAAAGGTTCGTGCGTATGCGGCCTCACACCCGGAGCATAAGCTCGCTTTAGCGTTTGACCAATCTCCATATCGCCATTCCAACATGGGTATTATGATTGTCCGTGTGTGGGCGTACATGGAATACCTAGGGAAGGCTAAAAAGTTAACAGAAATCCTCAAACCAACCTCTAGAATCGAGAGAGGATGGTATTGCGATCAATCCATCTTTTCACGCTTCTATCAGGATCTCTTAACGTGGGAAGTTGAGCAGGATGTTTTCTCGATGTCGTTGCATGACCGACAGGCGGCGCGGTCCACTCACGGTATGCGTGCCGGTTTCATCGGGTTAGACTACGCTAGTGCGCTTTCGGTGGTTATTGCGCTCAGATACATACACCAAACCGAAATTCACGATGAGCTCTGGGCGAAATACCTGCCGTCAGACGGGATTGAACACCCGCACTCACATGAGATAGATGGAATCGAGAATGTCGGTCGCTTTGCAGAGGACCTTTATAAGCGAGCGTACGCCTCACACGGTAAGGAGATTTACACGAGGCTTGCCGTACCCAAGTGGGTGGACGGGAAAAGAACTTCTGAGACAACCTTCATCAGCCTCACGCCACCTCTTTTTGCATCCAAGCTGAGGCCCATCGACACCGTCAACGATACGACGCGTCATACGTTCCCGGTAATTTTGCATGCGTCCGATCTCGAGTATGGTTATACCAAGGTCAAAAAACTCGAGTATGCCTCCGTAGGTGCACCGTGGTTCATGCCGATGGTTTATGATGCAGAGATATTGCAACAGAACGAGAAGTACCTGGAATCTATACCATTGTTTCTATCTACCGATAATAACATACTTAAAACCTCTTACAACTCTAACTGTAGCTTTCCATTTGAAAGAATCATAAAAAAGGTCCAAAATTTATAAGTTAATTCGATTTTCTACTTTATGCGTATTAGATATTTCTTTTCGATGCATAATCCAGCCCCATTAGAATTACTTTTAGGTGTTGTCTACCTATTGCTTTTGTAATACGAAATGTTTTTTTACTGATATTTTTTTAAGGAAATATACACAACGGATGAAGGTTATTTATGTCGCTCTTACATTTTATATACCTGAATAGATAACACCATACAGGTGTTGATCTGTTATTTGATTTTTTCTTTTCGTTTATGTTGCTTCATTACCCTGTACATAGTGTCTTAAACTGAGGAGTGAGGACTTTATTTGTTATTTTTTAATCAAAGCAGTGATCATAGTCAGGTATAATTTTATAATAGTGAAAGAATTCATGAAGGAACTAGCTTAACTCTAACATATAGATATTATCCCTATGCTTTATTTATAGTTAGCAATAAGTTTTAAATCCTATCTTGAAAACTGAAAGAAGATTCAATATATATATTTTTTAATATTTGTAATCGAAATATTAAGAAAGTATCAGTATGTACAGGTATATGGTCAGTATTTTTTCCTGACTAAACCCCATATATTCAGACCATTGTATTATGCACACCTTTGCGCTTTTTATAAAATTCGAACATTTTCCCTCACTTCTTGGTTTATTCTATTTAGGTAAATGACACGAAATGCAATTTATTTTGAATTCTAAATACTTTCCGTCAGACGATGAGCATCAGCTTCATTTGCTTTAGTGTCGTTGGGACGTAAAGAACTCTTGTGTGACTTTGGCTTGATCCCTTGCGGGGTGGGGCGAGCCTTGTCGCGCGTGTACGTGTGCTTCAAAAAGGCGAAGACTCCACTGCATCCCGAAACGGGGGTAAAATTCCTCAGGAAGAGGACATCGGCAACGTCGTGCTTTTCCACAAGGGTTGTTTCATACCGCCCCTCATGTCAGGCCAAGACCTTCCCGCCCACTTCCATGTTGGTCATTTTGTGTCCATGCGCGGCAAAATCACAAACTTCAATCTTAATGTAGAGGATGCATCCAACTCACAGCAGGGTATTCAGAGGAGGCACAGCCAGTGAGACTACACGAAACTCGGCAGACCCTCATGATTTT